TAAAAAATACTTTAAATTGTATAAATAATGTAAAAATAAATTGATTTAAACAGCCAATCATACGAAAGTCTTCCTATGGGCTTAGCCGGCTTAGCCGATTTTAAAATTGCACCATTTAATTCGGACTTTACTGAAAATTTTTTGACCTCTACCTTGCTCATATTTTAGGTTCAACCTCGAATGCTACAATTCTAGTAATAAAATCGATCAGCCGATTTTAAAAAAATCGACCGACTAAGCCGATAATTTGCTTTTAGCCGATTTTTTCACTATCGGCCAAGATCACTAATATCAATAACAATAATGATAACACGTGATGTCAAACAAAATAGAATTTTGAATTACGAATTTATTAAACTTCAACTCGATATAATGAAGTACATATAGTATTCTCTCAATATAAGCTATAGTGAAAATTTTTTTCTTAGCCTGAGGATTTCACTATAACGAGAGTGAGTTGTACAGTATCTTGGTTTTATAACATGAAACATTTAAATAGACCCGGCCGGATCGCTTTTTTTTTTTTAAAAAAAATAATTTCATATATGAAACTTTTATATAATAATTTTATAAAAATTTTCTTAAGAATCCACCCGGTTATTAAAACATATAAAAAAAATTTTTTTTATAAGTTTTCAAAATTTGACCCGGCCAGGTTATAAAAACCAATTAATTAATTTTGCATGGCCTAATTTACTGTTCACTTAAATGTCCTAATACAATGAATAATATACATTATTTGATTATTAAAACCAAAAAAAAAGAAAAAAGAAAAAAAAAAGAAAAAAAAAACAATTTATATAAAGTCTAATCAGCGTTTAATGCCATAAGATCTTCTCTTCACCTTTACATTTCACCACCTATCTTTCGATTTTCGCGTCATTTCTGATATAACCATTAATCCTATCAATGTTTTTATCAACCTTAGTAGTACCATTAGTTTCTTTATCGGCCTTAGCGACTTTTTTAACCTTTGGTTTTGGTAAGATGAGATCAAGTAACAACAAACCCAAAACTACCAAATGACCTATCCAATATACGGAATTATAAGCAGAAACGATATAATTCCATTGCAATAAACCAAATGAAATGATAGCATAATGTAATCCACAAGTTTGACCCAACCAACCAATAAATTGATGTAAATATCTTCCAAACATAATTTTAGAATTAGAATTATTTTGAGGAAGATATAATGGTTTAGTATATTTTTCGAATCTTTTTGCCCATCGTTTTTCAGCTTCTATATCAACAAATTCCAAACTAAAACAAATATAGTAACCAGGAAGAAGACCATGCCAAACAGCGAGGAATATTAAGGATATTATGGAAGATAATTGTTTGTTCCCAAGAAAGATAAGTCGTTTGAATATGTAAAGCTTGGTCCATAAATTGGTGTTTGTGTTAAAAGTTCCAATAATTTGTGAAAGAGATGTAGCAAATTCAAAATTCCACTAAATATAATAAATATAATAAATAAAATGTAATGAATAGTGTTAAAAAAAAAGTTTTAATATTAATATATGTAATATCGAACTGTTCGTTACCTTTTCAACGTTTGCTAAACCATTCCATTCTGGATTTCCATTATCGTCGTAACCATTAAAAGAAATGCCTGACAGAATGCATGCACCTTCAGTTAATGTCCAGACTCCAAGATACTACATACATATAAATTTAATTGTATTCAAATAAACTTTTTAATTTATAATAATTAAAAATTAGTGCAATTATTACTTACTTTTGAAAGAATAAATTTTCCAGTCCACCACATTATTATTAATTTATGAATAAAAGGTTTAGCAGCATATTCAGCAGTCAACAAATAGGATTGTGGAAAATATCCAGATCCAACTTGTTGTACACCTAAATATAACGCACCAAGTAAGAAACTTTTCAATGAAAACCAATAAGACCCTCGAGGAATATTTATAGGATCAGGGTATAATGACATAGTAATGAATTTTCGATAAAGATGAAAAGAGAATTGTGGACCAATGAGGAAAGCACCAAAGAAATTAGCGTATCCAATAGTTTCAATTAAAGGTGGTAATGTTGCTATTTGAACATTCTTTTCGAATGAGATTGGTTGTCTCTGTGGACGCGTACTAATTGAAGAATCAGTTTGTTGTAAATCTTTCTTTGTATCAATGCTCTTTTCGTTAGTATTAGTGATCTTTTCCTTGGCATTAAAAGGTGGTTTGGACTTTAATAATTTTTCCCCATCCATGAAATCCATAGCGAATCCTATCATTCTTAAGCAAAGAACGCATTGTGGCATAGTCCAGGTTACGTCATAGTCACCAGTCGCAGTCATGTAATAACCCACAATGAGATAAGTCATGTTAAAAAGAAGGGAAGCAATGGCGGATAAAACTCGGTTCCCAAAAATATTTCCAAAATAGCAGAATAGCCAAGTTACAAAAGTGGTTATTAATGAATGTTTGATGTGAGGTCCATTGAAAAAATAATTAAGACAAAGACCAGTAATGACAACATAAAGATTACGAATAAATGGTGCCCATTTTGTTTTTAAAGGACGAACGAGTGTTAATCTATATATAAGAGATATAGGATAAGCAAATAAAATTGTAAGTAATAATCGAAGAACCGGTTCTGATACACCTGTTTCTACACTAAGTTTTTTAACAAACATTTTTGCGTGGCGAACGATAAAAAAAAATTAGACAAATATATATAGTAATTACAAATATATAGTAATGATGCTGTAAATTTTTTCCTTATCTCGTGATTTTGATTGTTCATCATTTCTTTTTAAAGATAAAATAGCCCCAAAATATGGTGAATATTCTTAGTATTGTACGAAATTATATATAGTTAAAGGAATATTAATGTGTTTTTAAAATTGTCTACGCTTGTATTGTATGTATGCATATAATACGTATAAAAAATGCATATCCAAAATGTCTATTATTCCCTAATCTAGTAAAATTTCCTTAACACTTTTAACGTATCAAAGAAATCAAACAATTAAACCATCAGAAATTATTAGTTCATACTTCTGTACTTATGTACGTGCGTGCGTGAGTACTCACGTTTATTAAAAAGTCTTAATAATTAAGTTAATATCTAGATTAAAGTTTTTAAAATCGGTTCGTGCAACGCTAAATAACCATTGTTCTTGGATCTGTCTTGTCAGCCGAGTTATTGATCGACCAACCAAATCTTAAATTTTTAATCAACTCAAAGAGTCAAATAATACGTATATTTTTCGTTATGAAATAAGAAAAATATGTGAAACGGATTCATAATACGTACACTTATTAATTTTATTTATATATACGTATAATATATATATTATTGCACTATTCCTTTTTTAGGGTTACAAGTAGGTTACAAGTGGTTATTGGTACGTAATTAAAATAAATTTTATATCGAGAATAACATGTTATTTAGAATATTTGGAATATTTGGAATGTTTCTAAAAAAAAAATTTTTTTTCGAGTTATTCTATATAGAAATTGGTTTTTTCGTTTTGCATTATCGTACTTCTTATCAATTTTGTGTTACAAATAACATCAATATCAATATCAATACGTATCCTTTTTTGATTTCATATCAGATATTACAAAACTATGTCGTCAACTGTTCCAAGTTTAATTAAATTTGTCGAATATTTGATTAATATGGGTTGTCTGTATGTGTTACGTAAGCTTTGTGAGGCTGATGTGGTATCCCAGAGGATTACTTCTTATGGAGACGATAGTAAATTGAGGTTCTGCAATGAGCTGGATTATCCATGAATTGGACTCGCATGGGCCAGAGTTGGCCTCAAAATTTGGTTCCAGTAAAATTGGGTTCAGATTAGCGATGCAGTAGAATCGTCCCAATGATAGTCGTCACATTTCGTCACATTTCAATTCAAATTGAAATATTGGTTCTTATTTATATGAAGCATTTTATTTTATATTAGCTTAATAATAAGATATTGAGATTTTTAGATTTGAAAAATCAATTCTTCGAAGACATAGTTCTCTAAAAATAGAATCACAACCAATCAGAAGATAACTTGACGAATTGAATTAATGTCTATAAATAAAGGGATTGAAATTTCGTGTAATGCAAACATTAATCACATTTTTTAAAAACTCAAACTATCCGTCAATGGTTTTCCTAGTCCATTGCCCATATGGGGAATGGACTAGAAAAACCCCAATCTGAAAGCAAATGTCAGACGGTGATTTTCTTAGCTCATTCCCCATATAGGGAATGGACTAGGAAAACCCCCATCTGAAAGCAAATGTCAGACGGTGATTTTCTTAGCTCATTCCCCATATACAGTAGTGTTCCAATCCTAGGGTAACGTTTTGTTTTTTATCCGATCTGATTAAATTTTTTAAAATCGGATAATGCAATAAATTATTCGGTTTTATTCGAATATCCTTAAGGAATCCGACGTTATCTGTAATTATCATTATACTATATAATTAAAATATACAGTATTTATATCGATATACTTACAATAAAACAATCATAAAATAGAAGCTGCAAATTTATATTTATTAATTAACAAATGACATTCTTAGAGCAGTATTATAGCATTTTACAACTATAAAGCATAATAAATCTAGTACTACTAGTTTAATTACAAATATAATTTGAAGTTTAAAAGATAACTATATATCTAAAGGAGCATGAATGCTATCCAAATATTTACGGCTTTTTTTTAAAAACATTATTCTTTTAAAAAGATTAGGAGACATTCATGTTCTTTTTATAGTTAAAAGATTACCAGCATTAGAAAATAATCTTTCAGATGCTGTAGAACAGGCATAAACTGCTAAATATTTTTTAGCAAGCCTATTTAGAATTGGAAATTTTTCATGTCTTTCATACCACCAATTAAAAGCATCACTTTCAAAATCAATTTCTTCCAATTTTAAATATTCGCTAACTTCATTAAATACTGCAATTTGGAGTTTTTTAAGATTGGCAAGAATCTTAAGTTGTTTTATTTTTTGAATTACAGTCTTTTGTTGAAAATTTGAATTTAATAAAAATGATGATGCATCATTTAAACTCAACTCAGTTTTCATTTCAACAAACTTTTCTTTTAATAGTTTTTCAGTCGCATATCTATTTGCTTCTGACACAATTGCCAAATTTTTAATTCGTGGATCTAAAATACTTGGAAGAAGAGATTGTGATGCTGTAAGATCTTTCTAATAATGATCCATAGCTATATTTAAGGTTTCTTGAATTGTATCAATAAGCCCATTACAATTTAATGGAGTATTTAGATTTTTTGCTTCTTCATTTGTATTATTATCATCAAATACTGTTTTATTATTTGAAAAATCTAATACCATCATTATAAAATTGCTGCATAATGCTAATAGCATAAATTGTTGTTTAATACTAATTAAAATAGGATTCATCATTGAGTATGTATAATAAGTACTGCTGCCCAAGAGATTTGTTGCTTCTGCAAAAGGTTGTAATACTAGTATAAGATTTTGTATTGCACTCCATTCTTTATCAGACAACATAATCGTTTGAAGAGTTTTGTAGTCTTTTTTAGAATCTTGATCATTTTTTGTGTTTAATATATTCAATAACATATAGATATGTTTTTTTAATTGTAAAAGTCGAATCCATGCTAAATATTAAGAATTTCATCAAGTAGGACAATCAGCAATCGCATGAAGATATTCAGCAGTTTTTCCTGGATACTTTAAATTAAAATTATTTTAAATATGATATAAAATTAAATTAATTTAAATTATCACATGTATATAACTTACAATTAATTTTTCTTCAATATTTTCATTAATATCACTTTCTAACTTCTCATCTATTTTTAATTCATCTGCTAATTTAGGAAATTTTCTTTAACTTCTTCTAAACATTCACTTTGTTTTAAACGTAAAAAAAAATCAATAAGACATTTGGCATGAGTAATTAATTTTTTTGCTGATTTCATTCCTTTGCCAACAACTAATTGAAGCATATATGCAGTACATCCTAACCAATTTATATTATTTAAACTTTTTACAGCCTTTTTCATATTGCTTCCATTGTCAGTTGTAACATTAAAGACTGAATTTTGCAAATTCCAATCTTTTAAAATTTCTTCAACTGTATTTGAAATATTTTCAACTGTGTGAGGATATTTAATATAAACTATATCCAGCATAAATTCTTTTAATTGAAAAAATTGATCCACATAAGAACATGTGATACCAAGATATCCTTGATAATTTCTAGCTGTCCAGAGATCCATAATCAAAGATACTGAAATAGCTTCTGCAATAATTTGGGTTTTTAATTGTGGAAATGAATAATTATATGCTGAATAAATAATATTCTTGACAGTTTCTTCACACGGAATTAAAAAAACAGGATCCAATTCATTTAAAAAATACCTAAGTGCATTATTTGAAACAATATGAATTGGCATACAAGCTTCAATTATCAAATCAACAAGATATTGCCGAAGTTGAAGTTGTCGCTTCTCTGAATAAATAGCAATAGAATTTTTTT